GGACACACACAGCTGTCAGAAACATTATGTCTTTATGTGGGCTTATCATCAAGATTTAGACCAACAATTGTGACTGTGCTGACAAACAGACTCAATATTGGGAAAATTGTTTATGTAGTATTGTAGTAGTGTGTTGTAAATAGGTATTATCTTTATAAAATACTACTAGTAATCGCTAGTAAACACTTCATCCATTCACAAATCTGTAAAATTGAGTTTCTCCACAAGGAATTACGTAAAAGCACCACTTTAAATCTTATGTTTACAAGATTTGTACTGATGGAAATAAGTAATTAAGCATGATAGAAACCTAAAAAATGACTTGTCGACTAAAGAGATCTTAACCGACTGAGAAAAAGGAACAATTTGTGGACTAAGCGACTAGGAGCGGGCCAAACTTCTATTTTATTTTTGTGTTTTTCTTTGTATTCAACCACAAATAAGACATATATATCTGCATATATCCAGAAAATAAAGACATAGGAAATGTGACGGGAGAGTTCAACAAACCCAGGCTTATACAATAGACCTCCCTTCTTGAGAAAACAATACCAACAATGTTAAAACTAAGCCACTCAATACAAATAAAATAAATGACAAAAGGTACACTTAATGAGTCAAAAGAAATGAACCAATCAGTAGACAGCTATCCAATCCAAACAAAGAACTGTATGAACTCAATGCAGGAAAGAACTGGAAGAAACAATATGCACGTCAAGAAAACATTTGAATTAAATGTGATGACAAGTTCCCTAAAACTGTCAAAAGGACTTCAAGGGAAAACATATTGTAATAAAAAACCTTATTTACATTCAGCCACTTTATAATGTAATCCCTAATAACAATAAAACAATGAGACTTAAATGATTAAATAGTGTTATGTAGTTTTAAACAGCGTACTGTATACTGTACTGTGTGTGTGTTTATATCATTGATTTCAAGGATAATGGCGTACAGTCACATGTCTTCCCTCAGCGGCCTCTCAGTAATTCCAGACTGAGCTTCCTCCTCTGTGTGCAAACACTTTCCTCTGCAGTGACTGTCACTTAAAACAACACGCTAACAAACGTGTGTGTGGTGTGTGTGTGGTGTGTGTGTGTGTGTGTGTGTGTGTGTGTGTGTGTGTGTATGTGTGTGTGTGTGAGCACAGCATCGACATCAGGTTGGTCTTGGAAACTAAATCTTAGCAACTGGCTTGTCGTTGTGCTGATTTATCGGCTTTATACTTGACCTTCCTTCAGCTCACATTAACGATCAAAAATACACAACTTAAATAACCCTGATCTTTCAAATGAAGTGAAATCTCAACACGACAACCAACCTCACATCTAATGTATAACATCATTTGACGCATATCTTTGTAAATATAGAAAAGCAACAACAGGAGATATTAAAATTGTCCCCAAGAGGAAAAATAAAGTGCATTATTGTTAATATTATATATTTGTTACTATTATTCTTCAGTCAGTTGCTGTAGTCTTATCACCTGTTATATTCAGAGTACAAGCATAACCTCATACATAATACATTCCAATAATTGTTGAAGGACTATTTACTTAAGGAGAGCTTGTTTAATTATCTAACTGTAGTCAACAGTTACATGTGCGAAGGGTTGGGCGATGTGAAAAAAAATGTCAGTGTCAATATTTCTAACTATTGATATGATTTACTCAATGACATTTTTGATAAATAAACACTTTGTTGATATAATAACTGAATACCACCTTGTGAGATGAATAGAGTGGCTTCGTTTACGTCTTCTCAAATGGTTGAGAGCACATAATAGTCTGGGATTACTTTACTGTAATGCAGCGTTTAAAGCTAGAGATAGGTAACATCAGTGAAGCCAGCACCAGTAGGCTAGGGCTTTATACGCAGCCTAATGTTGGCAACGCTTCAACAAATGAATACAAGTTTATCTGATCTCATTTTTTTAAATGATACATCTGGATAGAGAGTTGCCAAGTTAGCAAACACTGAACTCCCCCAAAAGTATCATTAGGAAAGTAAACATATGATATAAAAGGTAAACGACTAACACAGCTATTGTAAAGAACGCAGGGCAGAGAGCACACAGGTACCTTGGGTGTTTCTCAATGTCGAGTACGCTTGCTTGGTAGCACACGTCTTCCGAGTCACTTGTATGGGCATAGATATGTCTCATAATTATTTGTGTGAACATAAGAATAATTTGTGTGTAAATATGTGATTTGTAAATGTAAAACAACATCCACAAATGCATTTAAAAGATTTGCAAACTCACAAATAAATGTGCAAGTGTAAAACGGATCTGTAAATACGCTAAATATGTTCACAAATAAAAAAAGAACTGTGAATATCTCTTTAACATTTACACCTTTCGATCAGGCATTTGTGAATCCATTTTGTATTTGTGGACCAAAAATGCGCTTGCGGATCTCAAATCTCTGTTCACGGATCTCAAATCTCTGTTCGCGGATCGTCTTTTTACACACACGGAATTTTGAGACATATTTTCCGCCGGTCTCGGCTCAAATCTACTCGTGTCACTCGGTTATTTTTCGGAAACCACGTGATGGCCTGCTGATGGCGACATTTCCGCATGATTTCAAAGTAAGAGCATGATGGTTTGTTTTCTGTTACCATCACCATCATCATGTTATAGTGATACAGTTAGTTTGTGTTATTGATTCAATATAGCATATATCGAGCACTTTCGTTGATGTTGAAGTGCAGGCTATAGCCTACGCCACTTTCGGGTCCCGGGGGCGTATAGCCTGCACTTCAACATCAACGAAAGTGCTCGATATATGCTATATTGAATCAATAACACAAACTAACTGTATCACTATAACATGATGATGATGGTGATGGTAACAGAAAACAAACCATCATGCTCTTACTTTGAAATCATACGGAAATGTCCTCATCAGCAGGCCATCACGTGGTTTCCGAAAATAACCGAGTGACACGAGTAGATTTGAGCCGAGACCGGCGGAAAATATGTCTCAAAATTCCGTGTGTGTAAAAAGACGATCCGTGAACAGAGATTTGAGATCCGTGAACAGAGATTTGAGATCCGTGAACAGAGATTTGAGATCCGCAAGCGCATTTTTGGTCCACAAATACAAATTCGATTCACAAATGCCTGATCGAAAGGTGTAAATGTTAAAGAGATATTCACAGATCTTTTTTTTATTTGTGAACATATTTAGCGTATTTGCAGATCCGTTTTACACTTGCAAATGTATTTGTGAGTTTGCAAATCTTTTAAATGCATTTGTGGATGTTGTTTTACATTTACAAATCACATATTTACACACAAATTATTTTTATGTTCACACAAATAATTATGAGACATCTATGCCCATACACTTGCTTCAGAAGCGAGGCAAGAATCCTTCCTAGCATTCGGGAAAACGAAGAGTGGAACAGGCGAGCAAGTGTTCGTCATATGAGAGGCCCCGCCTTACATTTTCCGCCACAGATTTGGGGAAATTGATCCGTGCGCAAAGCATTGTGGGGATTTTAAGACCGCGGAGTCTACACATGGGCAGCCTCGAAATGTCTCGCTACGCCGGGCTTGGGAGAATTCCAAGTATGCTGGACATTGGAACAGTCCTTCGGCGGCACTCGATGACGTAGTATGCTTGAAATGGTGGCTCTGGAGCAGCTTTACTCGACATTGAGAAACACCCCTTGATTTTGATTACCTTGCTTTAAAGAGGCCCTATTCCCTCCCCTGTAGAGTGTGCTCTATAGGTTTGAGTGCATGTAAATGGTCTGCTAAGTCTAAAATCCCTGATTGCCCTCCAGAGTGAGTTTCTCCCCCGCCTGAAACACCTCCATTGGACTCCTTTGTTTACATCCAGATCACAATGACATCACTACGTAACACTTGCACTCCTATTGGCTAGCGCTCCAACACATTGTACGTGATAGGCTAAGGGGCGGGACATCTCTAAGCGGTTGACCAATCACAACAGAGCCGGCCAGCTAACCAATCAGAGCAGACTGGGCTCTGGTTTCAGACAGAGGGGTGAAAAGAGGTGCTGCAGCAATAAAGAGCTTTTTGAACATTAAAGCATGGAGACATGTCCCAGTAGAGGTAAAAAGTACAAATATGAACCTGAACATTATGATAAGCCCCTTTACATTAAATACAAAAATACAATATGTTGTTAAAGCCTTCCCTGGTTTAAATACTATGGATCATGCAGTGAAATCATATAGGGTTTCTACGCTGACAGCATTTACAGGGCAATCAATCAGTGCCTTCATTATTTCCTTATAGCTTGACATGCCTATACGGGCAGGGACAGAAACCATGCTACCCTTAGTCACAGAGCAAACATTAGCACAGGACAGCATGTACAATTGTATGAAATAAAGAGACGTCATGACGACCTGCTCAATGAGGAGAGGCTGCTGGACTCAGGATGTGCATATCACGCACTGTGTGCCCATAATTCAATTTAACTTCAAGTCAGCTGAAATACTGAGTTCCTTTCTCCGGACAACAACTTGCACAAGGATGATCATTATCAGCACGAATGAAACCCTTAGCACACAGCAAACACTATTCATACACACACCCACACACACACACACACACACACACACACACACACACACACACCTCCTCCAAGAGTGACGAAGCATTTAGTTCACTGACTGCGGTTAACACAGCTCTCCTCACTAGTTAAGATGCTTCGGAGGCCTCACTGCGTTCACACAAAAGATCCGAGGTGTTCCTTTTTAAAAATAAACCGAGCGAGTTTGTCCACATGCCTGAGTGTGACACACACACACACACACACACACACACACACACACACACACACACACACACACACACACACACACACACACACACACACACACACACACACACACACACACACACACACACACACACACACACACACACACACACACACACACACACACACACACACACACACGACAGAGGCCAGAGGAATAACCTACAGCATCCAAACACGCAGCAAAGTCTATCTTACCCGTTTGACAGAGTCTCTTCATCTTCTGACATTTTCATCTGGCAGAAGTGTGTGTGTGTGTGTGTGTGTGTGTGTGTGTGTGTGTGTGTGTGTGTGTGAGAGAGAACAAGA